GCATGGTCATAAGAACACCATCGTAAATAAAAACATTATCAGTAATAGAGCAACACTTTAGACAAAGCAACACGATATAAATAGTGTGATACTATAGTAAAAACAAACATCTCCAACAAACAGCAACATCCTGGTAACAGCAACACAAAACAAAAAGAGCGACACTAGTGTAAAAAGAGACATGGTCAGTAGAACAACAATACTAGGGAAAAGCAATACGTTTGTAAAAACTGTGATGTCATCGTAAATAGAAACATTGTCTGTAACACAGCAACACTATAGACAAAGCAACGCGATAGAAACAGGGTGACAACAAAGTAAAAACAAGCCTCTCCAACAAAGAACAACATATTTGAAAAAGCAACGCGTCAGGGTATAGAGTGACACCATGGTAAAAAGATGCATTGTCAAAAACAGCAACATCGTTATAAAAGCAACCCATGTGAAAAAGAGTGACACTATAGTCAAAAGATGTCATAGTCAGAATAACAGCAACACCTCTGAAAAGCAACACACTTGTACAAAGTGTGACACTATCTTAAATAGAAAGATTGTCAGTAATACAGCAACAATGTATACAAAGCAACACGATATAAATAGTGTGACACTAAAGTAAAAACAAACATCTCCAACAAATAGCAACATCCTTGTAAAAGGTTACGTTAGGATACAGAGTAATACTATGGTCAAAAGATGCATTGTCAAAAAATGGCAACATCCTTATAAAGGCAACACATATGATACAGAGTGACACTATTATAAAAAGAGACATGTCAGAAGAACAACAACATACGGGAAAGCAACCCATTTGTAACAAGTGTGACGCCATTGTAAATAGAAACATTGTCAGTAATACAGCAACACTACAGACAAAGCAACATAATAGATATAGTGTGACACCAAAGTAAAAACAAACATCTCCAACAAACAACAATATCCTTGTAAAAGCAACACGTTAGGGTACAGAGTGACACAATTGTAAAAAGAGACCAAAGTAAAAAGTGTGACACCAAAGTAAAAACAAACATTTCCAACTAACAGCAACGTCCTTGGAAAAGCAACACGTAGGGTAATAGAGTGACATCTAGGGAAAATATACATTGTCGAAAAAACCCTAGCCGTCCTCACTTGCTCTCCTGTCCGACACAGCTCGAGCGAGCACCGCACGGCACGCCACCACCAGCATGCCACCATGGGCCCTCTCACCGACGCACCCGTGCGACCAAGTCATGCGCGGCTCCGTCGAGGGGATCCGCTGAGGTGCTTCACCTGGCGGGCGGGTGTTCAAGAAACCATGGCACAAGTCCAGCGATGGGCAAGCCAACGCTCATCGTGGGCGCTACCGTGGGCCTAATGGCACGACCCCCCGCCAGCAGCGCCACCGCGGGCCTCTCGCCAGCCTAACGCGGGGACCTACCTCCACCAGCGCCACCGCTGTGACTCCTCCTATGCAGCGGCGGCAGCGGTGGCAAGCTCATGGCACGCGCGGTCGACCAATCGAGGTAAGATGCTCCCAACATTGCCAGATAAAAAGCAACACGTTTGAAAATAGAGTGACACCTAGGTAAAAAGATACCGTGTCAGGAAAATCAACACGTTTCGTAAAAGGGTGACACCAAAGTGAAAAGCAAACATTGTCAGGAAAAGCAACATTTTCTGAGAAAGAGTGACATAATAGCAACAACAAACATTGCTAGGAAAAGCAACATGATTGGAATAAGTGTGACACCAAGGTAAAAAACAAACACGTCGTGAAACAGCAACACTATATAAAAGTGTGAAACCAAGGTAAAAACAAACATCTCCAACAAACAACAACATCGTAGGCAAAGCAACAATACAGAGTGACATCCGGGTAAAAAGACAATATCCGAGTAAAAGCAACACGTAGGAAATAGAGTGGCACCAAGGTAAAATTACATGGCAAGAGGAACAACAACACTATAGGAAAAGCAACACGTTAGAAAAGAGCGACACTTGGGTAAAAAGAAACTTGATCAGGAAAATAGCAACACCCTAGGCTGTCCGAAAACAGCAACACAACACGTTCGGAGAAACATCAACACACATGGAATGGAAAGTCAACACATTCGTAGAAAGAGTGAGACCATTGTGAAAAGAAATATTGTCAGAAAACTTAAAGAGAAACGTTCTCAAAGAAAAATCAACACCGCGGCCTAAACCCTTCCGCTTCCCTTCCCCTTCGCTGCCCTTTCCCCTTCCCCTTCCCCGCCCTTTCCCCTTCCCCTTGCCATGGAGAAACATTCTCAAATAAAAATCAACACCACGGCCTAAAACCTTCCCCTTCCCTTCCCCATCCCCTTCCCTTTCGCCGCCTCGGTCATTGCCGCACTTCCCGACTCGCACGCTGCCTGCTTCTCGACTCGCACGCGGCCTGAGCGACGTGAAGCTGTCCATACTCGCCAGGTGAGCGCCCTTCATTTTTTGCCCCGCTTTGTCACTGTTTAGGGTTTCACACGCATTTTAGTTTCCTCTTCCTCACTGACATTGATTGCCCTAGAAATTAATTATTTGATTGCATTTTAGTAGAGTCATTTAGGGTATAGCCATGCAACTCGCCCTGGGCAAATTTAACCGAAAACCGAAAACCGAACCGAAAGAACCAGAACCAAAACCGAAAGAACCGGAACCTAAAAATTCGGTTCCTGATATTAAGGAACCGAAATAACCAAAGAAAATTCGGTTCCTACTCTCGGTTAACCGAAAGAACCGAATTACACGAATTATACTTCACTTACTTGTATTTGTAAGATTATGTTTGGTTTATGTGTAGTGTTTTATATTTAAACTGCTATATATTTGTGTTACTGTATTGCTATTATTTTTTTATACATTATTATTATGAAAAATGAACATAGTGTTGCATAAATTTGCCTTACAACAGGTATATTTATTGTTGTCCTGAGGTCTTCTGAAAAAATTCGGTTAGTTCAGTTAGATCCGGAACCGAACAGAAATAACCGAGAACCGAAATGCTCGGTTCCTAAAAATTTTTGGAACCGATCGGTTCCCATTTTCCAGGAACCGAATTTCATCAATAACCGAGAGAACCGAACCGAGAACCGAACGCCCACCCTGAGCTGCAACTGCAACTCGCCGGGAGAGCGCCCTTCATTTTTTTGCCCCGCTTTGTCACTGTTTAGGGTTCCTCACCCATATTAGTTTCCTCTTCCTCACTGTCATTGATTGCCCTAGAAATTAATTATTTGATTGCATTTTAGTACAGTAAGATACATGCATTTTAGGGTATAGCCGGCTGCAACTGCAACTGCAACTGCAACTGCAACAGCCGCTACAGCACTTGTAGGCAGCCGGCCAGCAGCTGCTGCTGGCCCGGCCCTGGGGCAGGGCGAGCAGTGCAGCAGCACAGGGCCCTCGAGGCCAAGGGTGGGCCACCAAGTATGTGCTAGGTATACTAGTACACCGCAGGCTTGGGCTTGGTGCGAAAGTAGATACGCAGCAGTAGGCCAGTAGCAAAATACCTGTACTAGCTTTGAGGACAAATACGGTTCTTCCCGTCGGCTGGCATTAAGACCAAGGTGTTGTTGCGTTTCCCCGCACAACAATTCTCGTCACGGAGATTCCTCACCACTCAATCTAGTGTGAACGTGAGGTAGTACTAGTACATAGCTCAATTTCTCAAGATGAAACTTGAAAGATAATACTACCTCCATCCCTAAATTGCATTAATATTTATGACATAAAATTAGTATCTTTAGATATACCATGAAATATTTTTTCGTAGTGTACTCATTTATGGCATAGTTGGATTCCATAGTCTAAAATTTTGACCACTAATCGCAGTTAGACCAAAATCCCCCAACCCCGAACCTTAACCCGGCCGGCGGCAGCATACGGGTCGCTCGCGAGCGCAAACGCGCGACCGGTCTAGAGTTATAACGCTAAAAAAGGAAGAACGAACTGCGAAAAGAACAAACAACACACATCCACAAGCAGAGCACGTGAAAGCCATTCTCCGCGGGTGGGCAACGGCGGAGCCATGTATTGGCCATAGAGGGCTCCGCCCCCCCCCCCCTTGCCCCGTAAGAAAAAAATGAGGATATACGCTGATCCGCTGGCGCTAGCTAAGGCCCTGTTTAGTTCCCAAAAATTTTCACCCTAAAGTGTCACATCGAATCTTGCGGCACATGCATGGAGTACTAAATGTAGACGAAAAACAAAACTAATTGCACAGTTGGGTGAGAAATCGCGAGACGAAACTTTTGAACCTAATTAGTCCATAATTAGACACTAATTGCCAAATACAAACGAAAGTACTACAGTAGCCAAAACCAAAAAATTTCGCCATCTAAACGCGCCCTAATTTAGCCAACCAGCAACACTGCCAACCAGTGATAGGCTGGGCCACATGCAAGGCCGCACACCCCACCCGGCCACCTGCACTTGGGACCTGACATCAGTCAACACGCAAAGCGAAGGGAGCAAAATAATCCACGGCCCACGGGCACCGAGTGACCGAGACGGCGGAGGGCCAGAGGCGACAAGCCGAAAGCCGAAGACCGGAGCCCGGAGCAGCACCGCAGCGGAGCTGTCGTCTGTCGATGCCTCGAGCTGGAGTCCTCGGCGGCGGCGGCGGCCTTCCTGGTTGACTCGCCCGTCGGCACCTCGGCGGTCGGCGGCCGGCCGGCCCCCGACGGCTGGCGCGGCGGCGCGCTCCCAACATCCACGCAGGCACGCAGGCACGTAGCCACGCTCGTCTCTCAGAGTCTCAGTTAGAGTCAGGTACACTTGCTTTTGTTTCTCCTTTTTTTTCCTAAACTCTTTAGATCCGTAGACCATGTTGTCTAAAAGTGGCTAATTGAGTGATAATTTGTAACGATTGAGATCTTTCATTATTTGTTTGAAAAAAAGAGGTTTTTTGCTAGCTTATTTGCAATAATCCCATAATTGCATTGTTCATACCGTTTGGCAGTTTTATATATAAATAATAGTAAGTTATTTTTTATCTGTAGATACAAATGGGTAAAGAGAGACCCATTTCTTCATTTTTCAAGAGAAAAAGAGACGAACCTATTGTTGAGGAACCACTGATTCCTGCCAACTTAGTTGAATTAGAACCAAGGCAATATGAAGACCAAGCAGATGAAGGTGAACCTATTGTATTTCGGGGAATTGAATTCCTGCAGCGAGATCCAGCATTACGCCGACAAATTTGGGAGTATCCAAGTAACCAACAAGATGAAGTACGACGGGCATATTTGAAGTTAGGTCCAATGCAACCTAAACTTAAAAAATACAAGGGTTTTGGACCGCAGGGTCATAAGCGCCATTTCCAGTACAATTGGTTTAGTGATTTTCCATCTTGGCTGGAGTACTCAGAGACCAATGGTCGTGCATATTATCTTTTTTGCTTCGTGTCCAGCAAAAATATAAAGAAAAGAAGTGGCTTTGATGTCTTCACAGCACAAGGCTTTTACAGCTACAAGAAAGTTAATAATGGCAAAAATTGTGGATTCTTGGTTCACATAGGATCTGATCCTTGCTCAACACACAACAATGCAGTCACGGAATGTCATAACCTGTTGAATCAACCAAATCATGTTGATAATATTATCGAGGTGGCAAGCAAGCAAGAGAAAGAAAGAAATCGTCTACGGCTGAGAGCATCAATTGCAGTTGTCAGGTAGTTAACATTTCAATCTTGTTCTTTTAGAGGCCATGATGAGACACCTCAGTCAAAAAATAGAGGGAACTTTGTTGAAATATTAAAACTTCTTGCTGAATTTAATCCTGAAATTGCAAGTGTTGTGCTAGAGAATGCTCCACAATTTGCAAAGTACACATCACCTGATATCCAAAAGGAAATCTTGAGTATTTTTGCAATGAAAGTCAGGAAGCATATACGTGAGGAAATCGGGGATGCAAAGTTCTCTATTCTTGTGGATGAAACATGTGATGTTGCAAAAAGAGAGCAAATGGCAATTGTTTTCAGATTTGTGGATAATGATGGTATTGTACAAGAACGGTTCTTTGACTTGATACATGTGAAGAACACCAAAGCACTAACATTGAAGAAAGAATGATCTTATCTGTTGTCCAGCTATGCCTTTGATGTGCAGAACCTTCGAGGTCAAGGTTATGATGGTGCTAGCAACATGAAGGGAGAGTTAAATGGGTTGCAAGCACTTTTTCTCAAAGAATGCCCTTATGCATATTATGTTCACTTCTATGCCCATCGTCTACAACTTGCTCTTGTTGCTGCATCAAAGGATGTGGTTCCTGTTACCCAATTTTTCTAGAAATTGGTTTTTATTGTAAACACTGTTGACTCATCATCTAAGCGTCCACGATGAGCTCCATGACGCCCAAATGGATGAACTTGCACGCTTGCTAGCTATTGATGAGCTTGAGATAGGACAAGGAGCAAATCAAATTTGCTCTCCAAACGTCCGGGGAGATACAAGGTGGGGTTCACACTTAGGTTCTATTGCTAGCCTTATGGATTTGTTCAATCTCGTGAGTTCGGTTCTACAAAATTTAGCTTCCAACTCATCACCGGTGCAAACTGTGCCGATGGTGATACCGCTTTCAACTACTTGACATCTTTCGAGTTTGTATTTGTCCTATTGATGATGAGAGAAATAATGGAGATCACAGAACAACTAGGTCAGGCTTTACAAAAGAAAACACAAGACATAGTGAATGCTATTCGACTTGTGCAATCCACAAAAGTTCTACTTGAAGAAATGAGATCAGATGGTGGATGGGAAAATTTTATTTCTGGCGTTGTTGAGTTATGTTTGGGTCATGAAATTGACATTCCGAGATATGGAAGCAACATACATTATGCGTGGTGGTGGTGTTTGTCGTCAACAAACGGATCATTTTACCAATGACCGCTATTTTTGAGTGGAGATATTTCGGGCAACAATTGATACTCAGCTAGCTGAATTGAACCTGAAGTTCAATGAGAAGGTGATGGACCTTTTGTCCATTAGCACTACATTAATACCAAAAAACGGATTTTCCATCTTTCAGTGCTAGTGAGATACGCAAAGTGGTTGAGAAGTACTACCCAGCAGATTTCAACCAACAAGAGAAGCTTAGATTAGAGTATCAGTTGAAGCATTTTGTTGTTGATGCTTCCAACAGTGAAGAGTTGAAAAATATTGCAACCATAGCTGAGCTATGTCGATGCCTTGTTGCCACAGGACGCCATAGGACTTCTAACATGATCGATAGATTGCTTCGGTTGCTGCTTACTCTTTCAGTTTCAACAGCTAGTGCTGAGCGCGTTTTTCTATCTTGAAGATCACTAAGACAAGACTACGAAACAAGATGGAAGACGAATTTCTTGCCAATAACTTGGTAGTACACATAGAAGGCGAGATCGCAAGAGACTACAGCTATGAAGATATAATTACTGATTTCCAGAATTTGAAGAAAAGAAAAGTGGACTTTTAACGAGTGCTAGTTCTATGGGTTACTTGTCTTTTGGTATATATATATACTAATATGATACTGTAATGGGTATCCTATGGACAATAGACCATGGTCACCTGTGTTTTGTTAATTGTGACCTAATTATAGTAGTATAGAACTAAAACTTATTTCTATGGAACTTGTGTACATGTTGGTCCGTTAGTCTATACCCCACCTATTCTGTCTTCGGAAGAAAGGGAGCGGTGGCTCGAAGATCGCCGGTGGCGTTTAACTGAACCTGCGTGACGGCATGAAGGCTCAATACCTGCACTGCCCCTGGAACACCTCCTTGGACGAGTGGTACAAGAAATGGTTCTACATCCGTGAAGAGCCGAACACCATCACTCTGTGCGATGTGGGACTGATTCCAGAGAAGAAAAGCAGCTGGTCGGAGAAGCCCGAGAACTTGGAGCAGATCGCCGAACTGCTCGGGATGATCCCGTGGGGAAGGCTTGATGGCCCGAGCGTTGTCGGCAACTTCATCAGCCGAAGAATCCAGCCCTGCCAGAAAAGGATTCACCCCGGCTTCGAGTACCAAGGAGGCGCTGATCCGACGAGGACCAGGAAGGAGCCGCTCGACAAGGTGGAAATCAAGGCCAGGATTGGAGAGCTGTTCAACCTGGCCGATCCCGATTATGTTGCACTGAACACCATCGAACACGCCTTCAAGCTGGCTCGCCCTCCCCCAAAGGTAAATGACGCCTCCTTTTAACTGTAGAGTCATGTTGCATCAAGAAAATAACTGTCTTTTACTTCATTTTGTGTCTCAGTGTAATGGCCGTGACCGGGCAGGAGTGTTTGTGTCGCCTCCCCCCGGTGTAGAATGGCCACAAGCTACTGGACCAGCCGCCCAGACCAGCGCCCGGACCGACGACGTTCGCTGGGCGGTACTCGAGACCGTAGAGGACGCCTCGACCAGAGCCGCTGGCAAGCGTCCGGCTGCCAGCAAACGACGTCAAGCCATCTTCCCCCTGTCGGACGACGAAGCAGAGGATGCGGACATCTTCCGGCTCGTCCCCCGAAAGAGGAGAAAGCAGGTGGGACCGCTTGAGCGGGGTGGCTCCTCAAAGCGGCGATGGTCACAAAGACCGACCATCGCAACACGAGCACGACGGAAGGGAACATGCCGCATCATACTCCGACGCCTGCATCGGAGGTTGAACAAGCCCCAAAGGACACCGCCGACAAAGCGGGCGGGGCGGTCAAGGAGACGTTCCTTCGCCACATCCTTTCGCAAGTCAAAACTGTAAGTATCTATACTTTTGATGTAAGCTTTGCGTTTTGCATTGGATGCTATTATCTTCTGAATTTGTCTCTGAATGTATTAGATCGGCGTCCACCGAAAGCCCGACCACCTAAATTGGGTGCGGGCGAACGCCCTTACCAACAACGGCGGGACAAATCGCTCAAAAACCACCGTGGAGGAGCCCATGGCGGACTCCGCACTTTGGGCCTCAAAGAAGCGGACAACCAGACGCCAGTCCCCGAGCAGAATACAAGTGCTCCAAGCACGAACCCTGATGAGGCGGATACCACGGCGCCCAGGGAGCTGGATCTAGCCGAGGGGCAGCAAGCGAAGGTTGCCCGAACATGGTTGCCGACGCGACGGCTCGTGGGAAAGCCCCGGTGATCGTGGAGTCTGTGAATCCCGGACCAGTGCCGCCTCTCGAACAGGAGGCTGAAGAGGATGAAGTGGAAGAAGTCCTAGGCCGTCCCCAAGATAGGCGACAACATGTATATGTGTCGCGCTATCGGAACGACGAATGGGTCATGCACGAGGAAATCCCGTCAGGTCGAAGAGACCATAAGAGTCGAACGGGTAGCTGCTGCGTCCGTGATCAAGTCCGGTATATTTGGCTTTAGTCGTTGACCCTGTTGTGTAGTCGAACTGTCTGACGTAACTTGTCTGTGTGTAGGACTTGATGAAAACTGCAAGATACCGAAAAAGGTGCTTCGACCAGATAGAAGGAATCATGATGACCAATAAGGAGTCGACGGTGAAGTGGATCGCCCTCTGACGCCAACTTGAAGCCGCCACCGTGAGAGAAAAGACCAAGAAGCACGAAAACAAAGCTCGGTCGGTCACTCGAAAACAAAGAGCGGGGAGAAAACAGTAAGCGTTCACTCAGATCACAGCAAGTGCGGGACTTGTGTTATTTTGTTCTTGACAAGAATAGCTGTAATGCAGGTTTAGAAGTGAAGTGACCCGCCTCGGGGGAGAACAATCGTCGCGCTTGCGTAATGTGGTCGCTGAAGGAGGACAACGAAAATCGCACGCCGCCAATCGTAACTCCAAGACCACACTAACGTAATGAAGGACAACCTGAAGGTAAGCACTCCAGACCACCTTTCTCATTCAATTGCCCACATTGCCTTGTCATGTCATCACGTTTGATGTCTTGTACTTTGTTTCGCTTTTGAAAGTCAACGCCAAGAGGCACCTTGAGGCCGTGATCAAGGAGCGTGACGACCGAAAGCGCAATGCCTTAAGGCCACCGAGGAGCGGGACATGTGGAGCAAACGGTGCCAAGAAATGGCAATCGGCATTGTGCCCGCCCTCGACCTTATCGACCAAGCTCACAGAGGAGGAAGAGCTAAGGGCGCCTCGGCTCGGACTGGTCGAGAGATGCAAGCAAGCATGGGGATGGTTCCAAGACTTCGTGAAGGAGGCGGGTGAGTACACGGTGCCCATGTGCTAAGCATGGTGCGTGCTCACTACCCCCGATCAACCTCAAACGCTTGGAGGCGGGTACCAAAGAGATAGATCCGACATAGGCCGAAGAGCTTCTGGACGACCCAAATTGACTTTGTCGTCAAAGATAATTGGTGATATTAACTTTGTGCGGAGGTGGGACATCACCGCGGGTATGCCATCGACAAGCCAGCTAGAAATGCCATCACCGCAAGCCAACCAACGAAGCTGCATGGTCTCGACCACCAGAACACCGTGGGCCATCCCTTCAACTTGACCAGCCCTAGAGTCCCGAGACTCGAGTAGGGTATCGAGGCGGCGGGCGATAAATGCCATGCGCCCGACCACCCAATGTAATAGGCTTAGAGTCAGTAGAAGGAGGACATAGTTGTGTTATTGTAAACTTGAGCCTTTTCGGGCAAGCTTGTAATAACGTGCGTCATATCATTATAAGCTTGTTTGTTTTATACAAAACGCACTTTAAGCTTGAAATTTTTGTTGGTGTAACTAAGTGGGAGCGTGTTAACGTTACATTTAGTTGTACCGCTTTTGCTCGACACGTCACCACGAAAAGTTTGTGCGGCCCTAGTCCGGCATGTGGTCGGAGTATGAGGTACTATGACCGTGCACACGTGGGCGCAGAACAAGTCAAACCGGGGGACTCGCCGATCACCCGCAACGTGAGAAACGGATCCGTGCACGTGTTGGGAGGAACCGGAGATGTGGGCTCGCTCCCGAAAACCGTAGAAAGAGTGGTGGTCGGCTTGTACCGCTTAAGTTAGAATAATTATAAAATTTGGAGTGACACATGAGTGGTCGGAGAAATCATAGTTGCTTTAGTAAAGTAAATCGAAAATACAAGTAGAGTACATATCTCGGTGGTTAAGCATAGAAGCGTCTAAGCTTGTC